TCAGTGGTAGAATTCTCACCTTCCATGAGAGAGACCTGGGTTCGAGTCCCAGCTAATACACCCTATGTGCAGCCACCACCCATCTGCCAGTGGAGGCTTGAGTGTTGCTATGATGATGAACAGGTGTCAGTGGCGCTTCCAGACTAGGACAGACTAGGAAGCAAAGCCTGGTGATCTATGTCCAGAAATCAGCCAATGAAAACCCTGTGGGTCACAACGGTCTGCATTCTGTTGTACATGGGGTCACCATGAGTCGGAGGCCAACACTCAACAGCAGCTAACAATGATAACAACAACTCAGATACCACTTTTGTTTGCTGGTTTTCAGGCTTCATCCAGTGGGGTCTGAGAAGCAGTGAAGGAGGATGAGGGGTCCAGAGGTTGTCTATTCTGGAGTTTCACAGCTGAGAATCTCCAAAGGAACCATGTCACCTCGTTGTTCTTTGTGAGGAAAGGGAGGCCAAAGGACTCTGGGTACACGGCACTGGTGTCCATTTGGTACCATGGACACCACTCACAGGAGGCCAAGTTCTCCCAGGATTTGGGAGGGAAGGGCCCATTTCTGGTGGGATTTTTGTGGTTCTCCTGTTGCCTCATCTTGTGCTGGGGACAGTAGGGTACTTGTTGCCTGGACTCAAACCATACAAAATCACAACTGCTTAGCTTTCTTCTTATTTTTACTAGTAACCTTTTTTTCCTGCTTATAAGTCATTGATAACTGGGAGGGAGGAGGAAGAAAAAAATCACCCATAATCCCTCTACCCAGTTGTAACCAATGTCAACATCCCCCACCGCCAGGAAAGAAACGAACATTTATTGAGCCTCCATCACTTACCATAAACTTCCCCTCCAATATTTCCTATAGCCTTCAGATAGGAAATAACTTTATTGCTCTTTTTGATTGTAAAAGCAATACAAGCGCTTTGCATATATATTAAAAAGATAACTCATAGAGGTATAAAGAAGGAAGTGAAATTTGTCCGTGATCCCAGAGATGGAATTCCTTCTACTCTCATTTCCCCCTTTGTATACACACTTGTGAACATCATCCTATGCCACTCCTGCTAGGTGCTTCCCGTAGATTACCACATCAGAGGGCCTATTTGCAGATAAGGAAACTGAGGCTCAGGGAAGTTCAGACACACATCTGCTAAGTTACACTGAAGTCCCAGTAGACTGTCTGCCTCTCCCTTCCCACGGAGAGGCATGGAATGTTGCAGGGGCTCAGTAGTGTTTCACTGAGTGAACAAATGGATGAGAAACTCTGGTTTCAGGGGGAAGAATCCATGTCTCCCATGTCTCCAGATTTGTTCTGTTTCATTAAATCATCAAAGGCTGCTTCCAATTTGTATTTAAAAAAAAAAATCCTAATCCACCTGAGCTGATTATGGAGTTGGGGCAATTGGCTGTTACCCGGAGAGACATGGGCTGTCTGAGGGAGCAGGTGAATGAGGCGTGATTGCTTCCCTGCTCTAGAGAAATAACCCAAACTCACCACTGTCAAGTCGATTCCAACTCCTAGTGACCTTATAGCACAGAGTAGAACTACCCTATAGGGTCTCCAAGGCTGTAAATCTTTACGGAAGCAGACTGCCACATCTTTCTCCTGAGGAGAGGCTGGTGGGTCTGAACCACTGACCTTTTGGTTAGCAGCCAGGCGCTTTAACCACTGTGCCACTAAGGTTCCTTAGAGAAATAAAGAGCTCCAAAAAAAGTGACAGGAGAGCTAGGAGATATTGGAAACTTATATTTCCTGGAGGAGAAATACCAAAACCTTTTGTGGAAAAGCGTGTGGGGACATGGTTAAAATGCCCAAGTAAGGCCTCAGCTTGGAGGGTTGGTAGCTGTTCACAATCTAGTCACCTAAGCTTAGAATTCAGACACATGCTTCAGTTCACTTACAAACAAACTTTTTATTTCTTAGCTGTAATTTCTTGAGGGCCTTCTTTCTGTCAGGCCTTGTGCTGCATCCCTTTCATACATCATCTCATGTAACCCTGCAACAATCTCATTTTACAGATGAAAAAACTAAGGCACAGAGAGATTCAGTCGCCTGGCCAAGGCCACACAGCTGGCAAGAGGAGAGCTAGGCCTGGAACCAAGGTCTGTGTGACTCCCAACCCCCTGCTCTTAACCACTCAGAAGCTCTGTTGACTTCCTACTTCTGTGGCAAAGTCCGGGGACACAGCCCAGATGCATAAGCCCTTCCTTACCCTGGTGCTGTGGTGGGTGGAGGGCAGACAGGGGTGAGGATGAGGAAACCAGGCCAGGGTTTCTCCTCTAGATTCAGGGTTGAAAAATCAGAAACAGTCCAAACTTTCATCAACAGAACAGATATACAAACTGTAAAATCCACATCATGGAATACTACCACTTGCTGTGGCGTCGACGCCGACGGCAACTCAGTGAAGACTCTATGCGTATCAGAGCAGAACTATTCTCAGTGGGGTTTTCAATGGCTGATTTTTCTGAAGGAGATCACCAGGTCTTTTTCCGAGACACCTCTGGGTGGATCTGAACCTCCAACCTTTCGGTTAGCAGCCAAGTGCATTAACCATTTGCACCACCCAGGGACTTCTCATGGGATACTACTCAGCAATAAAAAGGAACAAACCACTGATGCACATAGCAACAACATGGATGAATTTCAAAAAACATTATGCCGAGATAAAGAAGCCAGACTCAAAAGCATACATACTGTATGATTCCATTTATATGAAGTTCAAGAACAAGCAAAACTAATCTACCATGAAAAATCAGAAGAGTGACTACCTTCTGGGGAGAGGTGGGTTGACTCAGAAGGGGCAGGAGGGAACTTTTTGGGGTCATGGAAGGCATGCAATCTGTCAAAACTCATCACACTTTAGGTCTGTGCATTTCACTGTGGGAAAATTACATGCAAGGTTGTGTCCAGACCCCCTGAGAAAGCTGCTCTCCCTTTACCCCCCTAGAAGGAAAGGCTAGGTTGTCTCAGGAGGAATCTGTGAGGTCAAGAGAGAATGTTTCAAACAGAAAGTGGATTAGCAGTGGCTTCCAGGGGCTGAGGAGAATGAGTGTGATGCTTAATGGGTATAGGGTTTCCCTTCAGCATGATGAAAATGTTTTAGAACTAGACAGAGGTGATGGTGGTCAACACTATCAGCGTACTAAATGCCACTGAATTTTACACTGTAACGTGGTTAATTCTATGTCATGTGAATTATACCTCAATTAGAAAAAGGAAAAAAAAAAAAAAGATAAGGCCTAAAGATAAGGTGAGCGAACTTCTTCCCCTAGTAAGTTCTCACCACCAGGATTTCACCATCTGTGACTGCCTCACCCAATGAGCAAGGTAAGCACGTGCTTAGGGCATCAACAAAACAGGGGCACCAGTTGTCCAAGGCAAAGACCCATAGATGCCAAGCAGACACGACACAAGGGAAAGTGAGCCGCACAACAATGATTCAAGAAAGACTCGATTCATTATCCTTATTATGTATGGAAGTAGATATTGTTCGGCAGCTTAATTGTGACAAAAATCATTGAATTTGTAAGAGCAAAGAATAGAAATGTTTTTAATTATAACATGTTAGAGAGGAAAGATCTATCTAAAAATAAAACAGTAATTTGTTGTAATATTTGTTTTCTGATCATTAAATTCTTTTATAACATCTTTTCATTTGTTCATTTATATGAAACATTTATTATGAAACAAGCATCAAAATTGAAATATGAGCCATTTAAAACAAAATTGGTGAAAATGAATTTTTCGTTGTGGGAGATCAGCAGAATTTTACATTGATTGTTAAAACAACTAAGTTCACTGACTCATTTTCTTTGTTGTAGAATACGTGGAATATTCTTTTTGTAGAAAATGTGGTACATAGTAAAAATCTTAGTACCCTGCATCCACTAAAAATTTTATAATACAGTTCATCTCATTCTGCTAAAATGGCATATGCCACTTTTGTATTCAACTGCTAATATTATAGTCACATTTAAAAAAGTTACATCATGGATAGCTAAGACACACACACACACACACACATACACACACACACACACAAATGAGCCCTGGTGGTGCTGTGATTAAAGCAATCGACTGCTAACCAAAAGGTCAGTGGTTCAAAACCACCATCGGCTCCTAGGGAGAAAGATGTGGCAGTCTGCTTCTGTAGAGATTTATTGCCTTGGAAACCCTATGGGGTCACTATGAGTCAGAACTGACTGGACAGCACTGGGTTTTTTATATATATATATACATATACATACACACACATACATGTATATATCTAACTCACATATCCCATCATATTCCGTTCAAACGTGCGAGTAAGCAGAGGACAGGGGCACCACAGATTATCAGATTTTAGGGCCCTGACTATGAGTACCTTAGGGGCAGGCCTGGGTCTGATACATCTGACTACTCACTGCCTGCACAGTGTAGGTACTTGAATGCCTGTGATTAGGGTACAGGTTTGACTGCTCAGTGATGACTGAGTGAGTGAATGAGCAAAGGAATGAGTGAGTGAGCAAGTGAATAAATACATGTGTGAATGAGTGAGTAAATGAATGAGTGAATGAATAAATGAGTGAACAAATGAACAAAACAGTGAGAAACAGCAAGTGAATGAGTGAATGAACAGAAGGATAGATGAATGAATGAGCAAATGTGCAATTAACTGAGTGAAGGAGTAAGTGAATGAACCTGGGCAAAAGCACAGACTTTGCCTCCAACCTGTGTGGGTTCCAATCCTGGCTTTGCACTGCTGGGCAAATGACTCAACCTCTCCATGTCTGTTTTCTCATTTGTAAAACAGGGATGGAGAGTTGTGGTGACAAATAAATGAGTTGAAATGTGTAATGCGCTTAGAACAATGCCTGGCAAAGTAAGGCCTCTATAAGTGTCTGTGACTATGAAAGAAATACACATCCATACACACAAAGAACCTCTGCCACCTCCGGAGGCGCCCATGCCGCCCCCCACCCCCGCCACACTTCCAGCCCCGACTGGGACCTACCGAGGAGCTGCACCTCGTCGGTGATGCCGTAGACGTCGATGAGCGCCCAGAGCGGGCCGCCCACGGCCACCCCGCAGTGAAAGAGCACGGGTTCGCCGTCGTTCACGCTGTAGAAGACTCGGCCGTGGCGGTCCGCCCAGTAGGCCAGCACGGTGTCACGCAGCGCCAGGCTCTCCGGCAGCGCCTTGGCCCAGTAGCCGGGCCGTGTGACGAGGTCGGGGCAGGCATACTTGGGGATGTCGTGGGCGCTCATCAGCGACGGGTCGTGCGCCGTGAAGCCGAAGCGAAGCGCGCCGCTCCAGCCCGGTCGCACGGCCACCAGGCGCAGCCGTACCTGCTCGTACAGCCGGATGGGCCGCTGCGTGAACGTGACGCCGTTGCAGAAGCTATTGCGTCGCGTCGCCCGGCGTGAGTGGCCGTCGAGCCGCACGTTCTTGCCCTTGGCCTGAGCGTGGAAGCGGGGCGCCTCGCCCAGGACTGGGCGCCGCTCCGGGCCGGGGCCGCAACACGGCCGGGTGGCCAGGAGGCGTGCAGGCGGGCTAGAGTCTGCGGGAGAGAGAGACAGGGTGGTCAGGCCCCTCCGAACTCTCCAGGCCCCATTCGGTTTTTAATTTAAAATACTGTTTTAATAAGACCGAGAATTGATAAACTTGAGAAGGTTCCAGACTGGACCAAAGGGAGACCCTCATTGCCAGTCCCTTCCAGTCTGTCCAGTGCTGCCACAGTAAAGCCACTGTACCCACTTCACAGACAAGTAAACCTAGACTTGGGCAGGGTGAAGCACTAGGATGATTTCCCTCTCAGAGGGGTCAAGACCAATGAACTTGTCAGAACAGCTGGGCTAAACTCGAATGACTTCTCTAATGCCATCAAATCCCTCCAAACCTGGAGGCTTCTTCCAGAGGGCCAAGTGGTCCCTGACCTCTGGGCTGTAGTGTCCCTCCAAATCAACAGAGGGCTTGGATTCATGGGAGTAGTGGAGATATTTGGCTACTTTGTGGAATTTATGTTCAAAAGCAAGGTAGACAAGGCAACAAAGAGTGCCATCTTGGGGTCCCCATGCAGCCTTGGAACCCCAGTTCTCTAGCCATTCCTGCCTGTGTGACATGGGACAGATCCCGTGTCTTCTCTAGCTTGTTTCCTTGCCTGTAAAACAGGGACATTACTTAACTCACACAATTGCTAGGAGGTAATCTGGATAAAGTTCCTAGAATACAACCTGGCACAAAGTATGTCTTTAGTCAAAAATCAAAAACCAACCAAACCCATTGTCGACAAGTCAATTCCAACTTATAACAACCCTATAGGACAGAGTCGAACTGCCCCATAGGGTTTCCAAGGCTGTAAATCTTTAAGAAAGCAGACTGCTGCATCTTTCTCCTGAGGAGCTGCTGGTGGGTTAGAACCACTGACCTTTCAGTTAGGAGCCAAGTGCTTAACCACTGCACCACAAGGGCTCCTATGTCCTTAATAGACAACTAACAATCATGATAATAACACTGAGGTTACAAAGGGATCCCAAGCCAGGATGCTGTGACTTCCTCTCTCCTTTACCTGCAGCAAATGAAGGCATCTGGCTTTCCCAGAATGTATACCCTTCAGGATTAATTTCTAAGGAAGTTCTGCCCTGAAGGCCCTAGGGAATTCTGGGATGGCCTTCTTTCAAAGGATCTGGCCACTGGCCACGGACCCAGGTGTCCTGATACTAGAGTGGGGGCTTTATTCTCCCCACTTTTCCTCCTCCCATCCCAGGGGCAGTGTCTGAGAGGCTCTGCCAGCCTGGGAGGTTGCAGTGTGGGTAATTACTCCACAAGCCTCAGCTATTCATCCACAGGAGAAGCTGAGGACAATTTTCTTTCAAATTTTTTTATTCTTTCCCATACAAAAATTTATACATACACTGTTACGTGACTCTAATTGCTCTCCCCATACTGTGACAGCACACTCCTCCTTTCCACCCGATTTCCCATGTCCATTCAATCAGCTCCTAACCCTCTCTGCTTTCCCGTCTCACTTCTGGACAGAAGCTGCCCGTTTACTCTCTTGTATCTACTTGAGCTAAGAGGCACACTCCTCACGATTATCACTTTATGTCCCACAGTCCAGTCCAATCCCTATCTGAAGAGTTGGCCTCGGAAATTGTTATAGTTCTGGGCTGATAGAGAATCTAGGGACCATGCTTTCCAGGTACCTCCAGTCTCAGTCAGACCATTAAATCTGGTCTTCTTACTAGAATTTGAGTTCTGCACCCCACCCTTCTCCTGCTCCATCAGGGACTCTCTGTTGTGTTCCCTGTCAGGGTGGTCATTGGTGGTAGCCGGGCACCATCTAGTTCTTCTGGTCTCAGACTGATGAAGTCGCTGGTTTATGTGGTCCTTTCTGTCTCTTGGGCTAATACTTTCCTTGTGTCTTTGGTGTTCTTCATTCTCCTTTACTCCAGGTGGTTGGGACCAATTGATGCATCTCAGATGGCCGCTTGCAAGCTTTTAAGACCCCAGATGCCACTCACCAAAGTAGGATGCAGAACATTTTCTTAATAAGCTTTGTTATGCCAATTGACCTAGATGTCCCCTGAAAGCATGGTCCCCAAACCCCTACCCCTGCTACTCTGTCCCTCAAAGTGTTTGTATCGAGGAAACTTCTTAGCTTTGGTTTAGTCTAGCTGTGCTGACTTGCTGAGGACAATTTTCATGGCAAATTCTCATAAATCGCAGACAACCCCAGGCACTCAATGGTCTGTAGTCTCCAGAGAAGAACGGTGACCCAGGGCAATGAGAGTCACTGTAGGGACCACTCCTCTTATGCCCAGCCACAGGGTACACTGTGTTCTGGGCACATCAGGGGGTTCACGGGAGAGAGGACAGGAGAAAATGAAAAGAGAGACTATGACCAGGCAGGCAGGCCATGTCTCCCCTCCCCAGGCCCGAGGGGTCAGGGACCTCTGGACACTGAGGGAGGAAATCATGCTAGGAAGCTGGGAGGCCTCTCTGCAAACAGAAGCCACTGATCCACAGAAGACAAAATACAAAGAATAAAGCCAAGGCCCCACATTAGAAAAAGGAATATAAGGGATTTTAGTCATTCAGTCGTTCAACAAATACTTAGCGAGCACCAGTATGTGCCAGGCACCATGCTACGCACTGGGCATATAGCAGTCACCAAGACAGGCAAGGTTCCTCTCTGATGGAGCTGACATTCCAGTGGGGAAGTCGGACAGCAACCAATGAAGCCTAAGCTGCCTGGCGGGATAAATTGTAGAGAAAAGCACAGGCAGGGACGATGTTATGGATTGAACTGTGTCCCCCCAAAATACGTGTTGTAAATCCTAACTGCTATACCTGTGGTTACAATCCCATTTCGGAATGGGTTTTCTTTGTTATGTTAATAAGACAGTATCAGTGTAGGATGTGTCTTAAATCAATCTCTTTTGAGACATAAAAGAGATTAAACAAGCAAGTGAGAAACAGAGATGGGGGAAGATAGATGCCATGCCACATGAAGATCACCAAGGAACCAAGGAACAAGGACCTTCCTCCAGAGCCGACACAGAGAGAAAGCCTTCTCCTAGAGCCGTCGCTCTGAATTCGGACTTCTAGCCTCCTAACTGTGAGAAAATAAATTTCTGTTTCTTAAAGCTACCTGCTTGTGGTATTTCTGTTATAGCACACTAGATAATTAAGACAGACGGGGACAGAGACAGGTGCTATCTTAGGGTCTTCAGGAAGGGCCTCTTTGAGGAGTGACTTTCCTGGAGAGATTTGAAGAAGGTGAGAAAGTGAGCCATGAGGGTATCTGCGTGGGGAGCATTCCAGGCAAGGGGAGCAGCGAGTGTAAAGGCCCTGGGGTAGGAGTGTGCCTGGCATGGCTGAGAAACAACAAGGAGGCTAGTGGAGCCAGAATGGTATGAGCAAGTGGGGGAGTGGAAGGACATGAGATCAGAGTGGTGGTCAGGGGAGGAAATCATATAGTTGTTTTTTATTTAACCATTTTACTCTGAGTGAGATGGGACATTATTAGAGGTTTTAAGCAGAGAAGTGATAGGACTTCTTGGGCTGCTGTGTGGAGACTGGACTGTTGGCAAGGGAAATGTGACAGCTAGGACAAGGCTACTGGAATATGCTAGTGCAGACAGGATGGTGATTCAGATGAGGGGAGGGGACAGGGTGGTACGACTAAAGGTGGTGAGAAGGGGTCCGATTCTGCACACATTTCGAAGGTACTAGGTCCCAGGGTGGCTTAAACAGTTTGCGCTTGACTACTAACCTAAAGGTTGGCGGATTGAACTCACCCAGTGGAGCCTCAAAAGAAAGACTTGGCTATCTGTGTCCATAAAGAATACAACCAAGAAAACCCTATGGAGCAGTTCTGCTCTGTAACGTGGGGTCACCATGAGTCAGAACCAACTCCATGGCAATGGGTTTGGTTTTTGGTTTAGAGACTTCTGTTAATTAATGATTAATGAGAGAAATCTAAAGCATTCAATTTGCTTGCTTTGGGTATTTAAACTATATTCAATAAATAAAACATAAAAAAGACCTTTGGGTTCCATAACAGACACCGGAAGGTGAAGCAGAGCAGGGGGAAGAAAGGGGTAGAGACAGGGAGTGATGCCAGGGGTGGATCCTGGAGGCAGGGGCTTCTCCATTTCCTTGTTGCTTCCCCTGTGCTCAGGAAAGACCTGGCACACACCAGGCACTTGGGAAATGCTAGATGCTGCCTGAATTATGGTTAGAATTGGTGCAGAGCTCAGAGATCATCCTCTCCAACAAGCCCATTTTACAGATGGAGAAAAGAGCCCACAGAGGGAGAGACGCCTGCCCAAGCTTGTCAGTCGGGGTCAGGGCCAGGACGCTTTCTTGGGCTTTTCTGGCCAGGCCACTCTGATGCAGGGAGGTGGAATGTCAGAGGTCACTCCCACACGAGGATGGGCCTGTGGCCCTCTGTGGGGTAAGGAGAGGCCTGGAGGGGCAGCCAAACACCACCTCCCACAGGCCAGGGGCCATCATAAAAGAGGACGCCTTTGTTTTTCTGCAGCTCCTACAATGGTTAGTCATGTGCACGCCTGCTGCGTCTGCCTGCCCAGCATCCGTCCCTCTTTTTCTGGTTATGTGCCCCAACTTTGCTTGGGAGATCCAACTTTCTGCCAGCTGGTAGGCTGACCTCACCCCAACTCTAGAAATTGGAGTGTGACCCAGGCCTGGCCAATCAGAGCATTGCAGACTTGTCAGGGGAGCCCTCATTTGCTTATAAAGCCAGGTTGAGCTGGATTTCTGATACTTGCAACCACAAATGTCCTGACTGATAGAGTCACCATGTACTCGGTGGATGTGTACGGGACACTCACTCTGACCTGGCTACTTGCCATGCATTCCCTCAATGCATCCTCACAACAACCCTGAGGTAGGGACTCCTGTTATCCCCTTTATGTAGATGAAGAAATGAATTTCAGAGAGGTTGAGTGACTTGCCCAAAGTTACACAGCTAGTTTAGGGGCAAAACTGGGATTGAAACTAGGTTTGTGTGGCTCCCAGCCCTGTCTTTTTAAA